AGTTGTCACAGGGATGTTTCCCCCTCCGCATTTTCTACAACCTCTGTTCCAGGGCTGGAGGAAGGCTGAGTGGATATGCTGAGATTTACTCCAGCAGCCCTGAGTGAAGTTGTGCCTGCATCTGCTCTGCTGTCTCCTTATTTTCTTTACTCCAGACTCTTCAGAGTGAGAGTTTCCTGGGGCGGCTTCTGCTCTCTTACAGTTCTACGTTAGAAGCCGTTTTCTGGGGTAATGCCTGGCTTTTGGTTCCTTGCTAGGGCACCCTCCTGTTTTCTTGGACCACTGAGGGCAAGTTCACCCAGAATCCACCCACTCTGAGAAGCCCTGCCTGGGGCAGGGCTGTAGTCAGCTTGGAGAGTCAACAGGTGGCGCTGTGGCGCCAGCTTCCCACTTGTACTGGGCAGCAAGGTGAAGGGGAGCTGCCCGCCCACCTGTGATCTGGTGGCTCCCGAGGACTGAGTGACCCAACTCACCTGTGGGTGTGGCACCTAGGAGAGGTCCCTGGTAAATACTAAGCGGGCAGGATCATAACCATAGAATATTCCAGTCGGGACTTGGAAGGACCTTCCCCCTTACTTCTGTCCCACTTCCTGTTAAGCCCACAGGAGGGAGACAGGATATGAAGCACGTCTCTCCCACTTGATATGGTTGGCCCTAGTTCTCCAGTGTTCTTACAGAGACTCACTTTATCCTGCCTTCTCTTGTTTATTCAACCTTTTATAAAAGCACGAGAGTCCTGTTCAGTGTCCAAAAACATCTTACCAAGAAACTTATGTTGAATTCAGGTATTTGGGAGTGATATTAGTCTGCCAAGAAAACCTCTGGATTCTCAAAGTTCATGTGCTGGCTTTTCCCTCGGTCACTGGGGGCATTTAACCCAGAACCTGGGCCCCTCTGTCAGCCATGTTTCTTTGGGAAATCTCTTTGGCTCCTGATTTCTGTCTAACCTGTTGTCCAGAAATGGGTAGCTAAGAGCATTTACCCCCGTAACAGTGTTTGGGTGATAAAGCAGAGAACGATGTAGGCTAACCAGCAAGAGAAGGAGAAGCAGTACCTCAGCATTTTCTCCAGGGTGACACCTCCTGGGCTGTTGAGACTTGGAGAGTGTGAAGCTCAGCATCTTCCATCATGGGCACTGAGGGGACACACAAGGGCACATTGATGTGTTTGGGAGGGGCTGGGGGAGTGTTGGAGCTGGGTCTTGATGGGTGAGTGTAGGGAAGGTGCAAAAGCATGGGGCTTAGTGTGTCAGGGGCAGTGAGAGTTCTAGAAGGCCAGCCAGCTCCTGGGCAGGCCTATTTGGCCTGCTAGGGAGCGCTGCTCTTGGCTTAGCCTGGGGCCCTATGGGAACACCCTGTGGATGAGGTCCAGGACACTGGGTTCTGCTGCGGCTGTGGTGATGAGTGCTTCTCGGAGTGCCTTCTCAGCTCCCACTGCAGCCGCCAGCCTAGCTTGCTCATCCACACGGGCCTGACTTAGTGGCTTTCTGCCTCTCTTTCCTGCCCACCCTGCTGCTGCACGGGCAAGCTCCGTGTCCTGTGTCCCCCTCAGTGCAGCCCGGTCAGGGAAGAGCCAGGGCCCCAGATGTGCCTTCACCCCTGGCTTAAGGTGCAGCCTCATACATGCGAGAGTGGGGAAGTCATCTCAAGGGCCTTGGGGGTCCATCTAGAGATCAAAGGTGCAGTCCCTGGTCCCCGGGCAGCCAGACAAGGAACAAGCCATGCAGAGCGATAAGGAGAACAAGCCAGACGAATGCAACTGGATGGGGCACAGGGGAGGGTCAGGAGAGGCTTTTTGGGGGCTGGCAGAAATTGAGCTGGGTCTTGAGTCATCAGCAAGCATTCACAAACAGAAGGGGAGGAGCCATTGCAGATTGGAGCGCTGAGTGCAGGGACAGGGAAACAAGGCAGGTGAGAACCTTGCATGTTCCAAGAAGGGCCAGTGGTTTGGTGTTACTAGAGCAGAGAGCTGTGTGCCAGCCAGAGGCTGAGGGCAGGTGTTAGGAGGGATGGAAGTAGAGGGGTGACATGATCAGATTATCTTGTCAAGATCCAGTTCCAACACTCCCCCTGTGACCCTCCACCCCCCAGTCTCTCCCAAACACATCGATGCACCCTTGTGTATTCCCTCAGTGCCCTATTACTGGCTTCCCTTAGGGCCGTGGTCGGCAAACTGCGGCTTGCGAGCCACATGCAGCTCTTTGGCCTCTTGAGTGTGGCTCTTCAACAAAAGACCACAGCCTGGGCGAGTCTATTTTGAAGAAGTGGCGTTAGAAGAAGTTTAAGTTTAAAAAATGTGGCTCTCAAAAGAAATTTCAATCGTTGCACTGTTGATATTTGGCTCTGTTAACTAATGAGTTTGCTGATCACTGTCTTAGGGCATGTATTGCCAAGCAGTACAGTCAGCGCTAGGGAGGAGGCCAGTTAGTAGCTGCTAAAACCACCCAGGACAGAAGTTGTGATGGGGATGACTCGGGGAGTTGTCTGTCTGGAGTTGAAATGGATAGGACTAGACAGTGGCTTGGGTGGTGGAGACCTGAGAGCTTGGGAGGTGCAGGGGTGATCTGGCCCTTGTGGACAGCTGCATTGGGTATGTCTTGGGGACACTCAGCAGCCATGGTCTAGTGGGCAGTTGGGCATAGGGTCTGGGCTGAGATAAACCCTGTCAGTGAGAGGGTTGGCAGGCAGCCAGGATGCTTGAATCAAGGGCAGGGAGGATTCTGTTAGCTGCTCCAATGCTGCAGAGTGAACACCCCCCTCCCCCAGGATTCCAGGGCACTCCTTGGATTGGGCAGTTATGGCTCTAATGGACCTGCTAGTGGCTTGGCCAGGCTGTGGCTTAGATTGGCATAGGTTTAGGAGTAGAGGGAGGAGGAGGAGGGGGAGTGGCTTGGGTTGGCAGGAGGGAGAATGGTGAGGAGTGAGGTTCATGGAGGGAAGATTTGCCCAGAATCTTTCTGGGCCAGGTTAGAGAAACAGGTCTAACAGGAAGGGAGGGAGAGGACATGGATGGCACAAAACATGGTATGAAACGGGGCTGGGGTGCCTGCCCTGCACTGAGAGGGAGACCCTAAGAGCTGCAAGCTGATGTGGGGGTTGGGGCGAGCAGGCTGAAGCTTCAGGAGGACCCTGGACGGCTCTTGTGCTCGGTTCTGTGTTTCCCCAGGCTCCTGTTGGCAACCTTGGTGCTCCATAGCTGGGGATGGGCTGGGAGGGTACCGAGGAGAGATGGGCCCTGCTATGCTGCTGCTGTCATTGCTGCCGCCGCCGCCACCCTGGGCCCAACCTCACACAGCACTGCTGGAGTCCTGCCCGAGTCAGCTGCCTGCCCAGCATTGTTGGTGGGGCGGTTAGGGAGCAGTGTCACCCTTGGGCTCGCCTCTCCAGCTTTGCTTGCTGGGTCCACCAGGTGGCACACATGCCCTCCCCCCTCCCTGCTCCAGCTAGGGATTGGCCCAAGGGCTCTGCGCTGGGAGGTTGGGGCTTAGTCAGACTTGCCTTTCTTTCTGGGCCCCTCCAGTGACTTCCACTGCCTCTGAGTCAGGTACGTCTTCTCTCTGGCTTCTGGGGTACCCGGGAACTCCCTCCACCTCCAGGGCTGAAGCCCAGTGGGGGGCAGGCTGGTGGGCAGGCAGGGGCTGAGACAGGGAAACCTGAGCCCTGGGCCACGAGGTCCCGGCTGCTAATTTTAGAGAGCACATGTCACTGGAAACTCTCCCCTCCTGCCAGGAACCAGTGGCCTGGCTCTCCCAGTACTGCCATGGGCCCCTAGAACCTGTCCCCAACCCAGGAAGCAAGGTGGGCGTCTCAGGTCCCCGGGAGCCTGCTCCCCTCTAAGTCCTTGTTTTTGACAGGGGTTCTGACGACCCAGGCTCTAGGTCCTAATCTGGGAAGTGCCGGGTTCTGGGCCCTCGGTCCTGCATGTCCTGTCAGCGAGAGCTTGCCTTGTTTACTTGCTGTTCCCTCGGGCTGCCTGAGTAGCAGGTGTCCATGAGAACCCCATGAAGGCCAGCTGGCGGGTCTGGGTAAAGCAGGCTTTCCCAGGGCTCCTGCACATACCATGTCTTCCTCCAAGCTATGGCTGGCTTGGGTCCCCGCCCCAGGTGTGTGGGGAGAGTTGTCTATCCGCACCCCTTGGACCATTTGAGGGTGACTTCAGGAAATGGAACAGCGTGTGCCCCCAACTGCTGTCTGTTTGCCTCTTATGGCTTGGCTGGCCCTGATTCTTCATTTCTGTTCCCATAGCCGCAGAGGACCTCAGTGTGGCAATGTTATCTAACAGATGTGTTCCAGCAGCTGCCTGTAGAACATGTTTGGGATGGGGGTGGGGAGGAAAAGAGCCATTTCCATTTCTCTCAGTGGACCTGGGAGTGGGTCCTTGAACACTGAAAATGTATAGTTGTTCCCAGTTTAGGCCTTGGGGTCAGACAGACAGGGGTAGGGGTTGTAGCCACACCCACTTCTGGCTCTTGACCTTGACCAGTCAGTCACCTTAACCTTTTGAGCCTCAGTGTCTCCCCAGTGAAATGGGGGCAATGATCTCCCCTGCCTCATATGATAGGTGTAAGGATTTGGCTGGCTTTTTGGAAGCGCCCCCAGTCACTAACTGCTTGTTTAGGGTGAACCTGACCTTGCGTTGAGGAAAATAACACTGTTCTGGCTTCTCTGGCACTTTCAGGTCCTGACCTGGAAGGTGCTAGGTTTCAGGCCCTTAGGCTGTGTAGCTCATCCCACTTGGGTGTCCTGTCAGGCTCCTGTTTCCTGTGCCTGCCATTTGGGGGCAGTGTTAATCATTCTGGTGCAAAGGACAGCTCCTGGTCCACCTTTTCCCTCATGTTGCCAGATCTAGGCCTGCAGCGTCTCGCTTGGCTGCTCTGGCAATCCAAGAGGGCAGGTCTCGGCTGGAGGCAGGCATGGGGCGGGAGCAACCAAGAGAAATTCATGTCAGCCATTTTCCCCTCTTTCTTTTGCTCACATCTTCCTTTTTGTAAACATTCACAGCTTGCTTAGACGCCTGGTGACCCTCATCTCTCAGCAGGCCACGCTGCTTGCCTCCAATGAAGCCTTTAAAAAGCAGGCAGAGAGCGCTAGTGAGGCAGCTAAGAAGTATATGGAAGAGAATGAGCAGCTGAAGCAGGTGAGTTCTGCCTGCCTGACCCCATCATGTGACATTCTTGATGGGCCACTGTGAGCCTATCAGTGACACTAGTTATTGGAAAAGCTGAAGAATTAGGTGGAGGGGCAAAGAGGCAGTTCTCTCAGTACAGGAGGGGTGTGGGGGGCTGGGCACGAGAGGTGGTGCTCTTGCTGCTCTCCCCTCTACCTGCTACGTTTAGGCCAGACTCTTTCCTGTAAAACTGGCTCCCTAGTGAACTGAGCCCTGCGCTGTGACCAGTGGGCAAGTTAACACAGAAGAGCATTGCTGTCAGCTGGGGATGAGGCAGGGATGGGGTGTAGCCAATCCTAGAAGGTCTGAGAGAGGAGGTGAGGTGTGAGCCAAGCTGGGAAGGAGGCTGATGGGCTTGGATTCAGGGGCAGGATAGAGTTGGACCAGTAGGGTCGAGTTTGGGGCTCCTTGGCCAGAGTGAGCTGTGGAACCTGGCGGGGAGGAAGGAGGAGCATTGGTCACTTGGGAGTGACTGGCAGCCATCCCCAGATGACAGCAAGGTGACTCATTGGATGGACTGGTAAACTCTGAGGAGCTGCTGAGAAAGGAAGCAGGGCTGGGGGCCAGGGTGGGCAGAGTGTGTGCCCTGTGAGCCGCAACAGGTGGCCCTGCTGGCTCTGGCCTTTCCTGATGGCTAGGAACAAGCAGTGGCCCAGTTCCGTGCTGACATTTCCGAAGGGGCGAGTGCCCAGGCAGCTTGAGGAATCACAGCTCAGTGGGGAGGATGGTGCTGGAGTGCCTTCCTTCCTCTTCCCCCCTTCCCCCGCCTCCTCCCTCTCTCTACCCCTCTCCCTCCCTCTCTCCCAAGTAACCAGGCCCTTGGCACTCTTCCTAGGAAGCTGCTGGTGGTGGAATCAAGTTGGATGCCAGAGAGACGAAGTTGGAGTTAGCGAACAGTGACTTGCAGGCTGAGCTGAAGAAGCTGAAGGATGAACTGGCCACCAACAAGCAAAGTGAGCATTGTCCTCAGGTGTCCCCTGGCCCCCAGAAGTCTGGAGCCTCCGCTGGTGGCTGCTACTGCTCTCGTGCCAAAGTATTAATAACAAACACGCGGGCTCAGGAGCTGGGTGTAAACAAACAAGTGACACCCTTATCATCCAGCTCAGACAGCCTGTGGGGCTCGGTGATTTAGCAGTGCTCGTGGCGGCCCGCTGAGGGAGGGCCCTGGGAGTCACAGAGGCCTGAAAACTAATTCCAGAGCATCTCACCCTGTGCCAGGCAGGCATGGGTACGGGCATTGTTGTCACCAGGGGCTCTCGGGCAGGGAAGGAAAGAACTCAGGAGACTAAATGAGAGCTGGTTGAGATGTTCCCCAAAACCCCACAGCAAGTGGGCCTTCCTGAAGGCCTCTCCAACATTCCTCTCCTGTCCTCAGCTTCCAGGCTGGGCTCCTGCTCCCTGCCTCTTGCTGTCAATCCCAATATTCTCAGAATGTTTGTCCCATGCCTTCAGACTTCCTGAAATCATCCCTTCTAGAAGCCACTCCGGGTATCTTCATTAAAGGGGCTGGTGGTCCTTGGTATTTGCTCGCTTCCCTCAGCTTAGTTGGCTAACTTCCCCATTTTGGGGGCTCTCGGGGCAGCCCGCAGAGGAGCTTTCTTGAGAAGAGTGGTCTCCTAGACCTCATTGGGGACAGATTCAGGGTCTGTATTGGGTGTCAACACAAGCAGAGTTTTCTCTGCTAATCCCCATCTTTTCATCACTTAGAACTAGAGAAAGCTGAAAACGAGGCTCTGGCCATGCGGAAGCAATCTGAAGGCCTCACCAAGGAATATGACCGTCTGTTGGAGGAGCACTCGAAGATGCAGGTCAGCATGCCCCAGCCTGCTCTGTTGGATGGGAGGCCCCTCTGCGCGGAGGAGGCCACTGCCCTCCTGCCGCAGGCCCTTCAAGAGGCCCTGGCAGTAGGGGCTGTTCCCTCTCTCTCGCTTCCCCTTTCTCCGTCGCTGCTGAGTCTGGGCCCAGCAGCCTTTCTTGGGCAGGAGGGATGTGGCCTAGCAGATGGCAGCCACTTACTAAGGTGGGCTTGGCCTCATGCCCAGCATCAGTGTCGAGTGGACTTTTTCCCTGTGTGATCCCCATCCCTGGTCTGGTGTCCACTCCAGGACTGGCCCCTGGCCTTTACTCTGTAGGGGGCTGCAGGGTGATGTAGGAGCAAAAAGCTGGGGCATTGCAGGCTGTCCCCAGCCCAGCAGGTGCTAGTCACTGCCATCACCTGTGCTCCCAGGCCTGGTCTGAGCCCTCAAAGTAGCTGCATCTGGAAGCTCAGATGGCCTGAAAATTGGGCATGAGGGCCAGGTAAACACTCCTAAGTTCTGACAGCGTGTCTGGGTGGTTGGCAGCCCAAGTTTGGGCACCACAGTGGTTGAAGAGGGGGGGCCTAGCCCCCAGAGGGGGCCAATAGCCTCAGTGTTGGACAGGTTTGCCGGCAAGAACTAAAAAAGGTGTGTAGTGTTGGGAAGAGCCTGGCCTGGAACTTGAAAGGGACTCCGAAAGGCCTGGAAGTTGAGCTGTGGACATGGGGGCAGGGGTGGGGTGGGGTCCAAGAGAAGATGTTGGTTTGGGGTCAGCTGGTGTTCGGATTGAGGACTTCACTAGATTGAGGCTAATCCCACCCTTGCAGGCTTTGGAGTACTGCTGAGGGTGGGGACTTTTGTCACCTGGATACCTGTCATTTGGGGGAAAGTAGTGCCATACCTGGCCTCTGGGGTGGAGGTGCCAGAGGGCGAAAAGGAGGAGTGTGCCACTCCAGCGCTTTTTTATTTTTATTTTTGTCCCTTTTTAGATGAAGATAGATGGTCCCACGGACAAGAAGGAGGAGTGAGGGCACCTCCTGTCCACCTGTGGCCGTGGCCTGGCCCATGTTTGCTGCTTCCTGAGGGCCAGTCCTCCTTCGGTATTTGCACTTCCTGTCCCTCACACTGCTTTCAGTTTCCTGTTCTCCCAGAACCGCACTGGGGCCTGGATTTTCACCTGCTCAGGGTGAAAAGGCGGGCACCTGGAACCCTTGCAGTGGGGCTTGCTTCCTGCTGGGTTGAGCCCCTTTTTGTTGCTCGTTCATGTTTGGGGTCCCAAGGCCCCTTTTCTCTGGTCCTGCAGGAGGGTGGGTGGAGCAGGCAGAGTAGTTTCTTTTGGCAATAAAGGTTGTTATGAAGTGTCCGTTGTGTATCTGTGTAACAGGCTGCAAGGAGGCCTCTTTCTCCCCCGCCCTGGAATGATAACTCAGAGACCCCCAGTCTTTGCCCTTTTAGGTACTTTCTTTCAACTTAAAGGCTCCCCACCCCAGGCTAGGTCCAGGCTTATGCTTGCTCTCTGCTTCCCAAGATAAGCTCCACTTTATGGCCACTTGGGATGTGTTTGTCCTGTTTGTCTCCCTGGGTTGGCCACTGGGCCCAGGGGAGCTAGATTTGGTAAACTGGTGGGTCCTCCCGGTAGCAGATTTGCCTGCCTCTGAGTCCTGTTCATCACATTTAGGACAGACAGAACGTGGCAGAGTGCCACTTGTCACTCCCTGTCCTGCCCGCCCTCCCAAGGTTTGCAGGATGACCTCTGAGTAATGCCGGCTGGGAGAGGAGTCTCGCCCTTGGCAGTGACCTATGACTGGACCAGACAGAGCTAGGAGGAGGGGAGGGGCTCTGGATTGGTTGGGTGCAGCTCTGAGAACATAGCAGGGGTGCAAGTTTGGAGAGCCTGCTCCTTCAGCCTGCTGCCCCTCAGAACCCCTTAGGCTGGCTTCTGCAGGTAGCCTCCGTGGAGCAGGGCCTAGTACTTAGGGTCAGCCTGAGGCTGGGGGTGGCTAGGGCTGCCAGCCTGGGGACTGGGCAGGGGACCTGGAGGACAGGTGGGGTGGGTATATTCTTTTGGAATTGGGGGGTTCCCTGAAGATGGTGATGCTGATGACCAGTCTTGTGCTCCCTTCCTCCTTCCCGACCAGGCCCGATGGCTCCCTTTTCTAGTGTCTATTTCTTCCTACTTCTCCCTGGGTGGTGCCTGCTAGGGAGGGGCCCACAGGTGACACCCTCTGGTTGCTATGCCAAGGCTGAAGGCTTGTCCCGCTTTTCCAGGAAGTGTTCCCTGACGACCATGGTCTTTCTGAACTCACCCTTTAAACTTCTAGAGGCCAGAGTCCAACCAGTGTGGCTTTGGGTTCTTTCCTAGTCAGCCCCAGGCGGCCTCTGAGCCCCCTTGGCAACAGGCCCTGGGCTGGGCTGGGCTGGGCTGGGCAGAGCAGAGGAGACTGCCTAGCTGGGGGTGACAGACTCTTAGAGGTGGAAAGCGAGGCACCCACCTAGACTCCAGCTGTGGTATCCAGCCCCTGTGGCTGCTCCTGAGTTATTTTCCTCCAGCAGCCTTCCTCTCTGAGCAGAATTGTCCCCAGCATCCCTGCCTGGCTGGCCCCTGGCTGATCACTTCCTCCCTGCCTTTCACTTAGATTGCCTGTCTCTGTGTCGCAAGTTTCTACCTCAGGGGGGCAGCTTCCTGAGTAAATGGTGCCTGCCCGCAGCTCTCTTGGCCCTAGCCAAGAAGCCTACCCTCTGTCAGTTTCTCTTTTTTTGTGACGTCGATGTTTTCTGAGTCTTTGGTGGTGGTGTGGCAGGTGGCTTAGAGGCCATTTGGCAAGAGGTGACAAAGATCTGAGCCAAGGCATGGCCCCTGTTAGGGAGTGGAGAAGGTAAGGAGTTGGTTCGAGCCTGGGGTGGACCGGGAGTGGAGTGGGCCTGAGGGCGATGATACCAGGCTGGTGGGGAGGAATTGCCAGGGGGCAGGGCCTGGGGCGAGGAGCCTCATCACCCCAGGAGCCAGGCTGGAGATTTGGGAGCTGTCAGCACACAGTTCTGGAAGTTGCAGGCATGGTGAGAGCTGGGGGTTGTAGCGTGGGAGGCGTTAAGAGAAGGTGGGGCAGGGGTTGGGTCTGAAGAGCAGGTTGTCAGGCATTCCATAGGAGCTGGCCCGTTGGGGAGGCGCCTCCCCGTGTGCCAGCACAGACTGTAGAAAGGCCTTCCCAAGCCCTGAGGACCTGCCCCCGTCCAGGATCTTGGTGACCGTCAGAGCATGGCTGATGGCAGCGTCCCAGGCCAGAGCCCTCCCTGGCTGTACAGTTGGGGCTAAAGCCCCTTCTTACTGAGGGGACAATGCCTTGCTATATAAAGAGCCCAGAGAGGAACAAACTGTTACTTTTCTCTGAGGGGCCAGGCTGGCATCCAGAGTGAGCACCAGCCTCATAAATCTTGACTTTCACCCCAGGCTTGCCTCTGCTGATGACTGTGCTTGTCCTGACATTCTCTCCCCCCCCACCCCCCCAGTGCCCATGCCTATCCTGCCCTCCCTCCTGTGGCACTGACTACAGCACCCGGCTCTCACCTAAGGCTGTAAGGCTGAACCCTCTGGTGCTTGAGGCCCTGCCCACAAGGACCTGAATGGGGCCATTGTCTCCAGTTCTTTCCCACCCTTCTTTTAAGTTGTGTTAAAATATATGTAACCTAAAACTTCAATTTTAATCATTAAGATTACACTTCAGTGGCATCAAGGACATCGTTGTGTGTCACTGCCATCCATTCCCAGAACTTTTCATCTTGCAAAACTGAAACTGCTCCATTAAGCACTCACCCCCATCCTCCTCCTCCAGCCGCTGGCACCAAGCAGCCCACTCTTCCGTCTCTGAATCTAACTCCTCTAGCGGCCGCCTAGAATGGAATCATACAGTGTTTGCCTTTTTTGTGTCTGACTCCTTCCATTCAGCATAATGTCCTCAGGTTCATCCATGTTGTAGTGTGTCAGATTTTCCTTTTATAGGCTGAATAATATTCCACTATATGAACAGACCACATTTTGTTCATCTATTCCTGTCAATTGACGCTTGGGTTGTTTCCAGCCCTTCTTTCTTTTTTTGTTAATCCTTACCCGAGGATATTTTTCCACTGATTTTTTTTTAATACATTTTATTGATTTTTTTTACAGAGAGGAAGGGAGAGAGAGAGAGAGCTAGAAACGTCGATGAGAGAGAAACATCGACCAGCTGCCTCTTGCACACCCCCCACCAGGAATGTGCCCGCAACCAATGTACATGCCCTTGACCGGAATTGAACCTGGGATCTTTCAGTCCGCAGACCGACGCTCTACCACTGAGCCAAACCAGCTTCGGCTCCACTGATTTTTTTTAAAGAGAGTGGAAGGGAGGGGGAGAGACAGAAACATCAACATGAGTGAGACACATGACCAGGGCTGGGAATCGAGCTGGTAACCCAGGTATGTGCCCTTGACCGGAATGGAACCCAGGATTCTTCTGTCTGTGGGCCGACGCTCTGTCCACCGAGCCAAACTGGCTAGGGCTCCAGCCCTTCTTTCATAATCTCACTCCGGGCTTTTGCACACCCCGAACCCAAACTTCCGTCTAGGTCTCCATGAGCTTGTCATCAAACCCAGCTAGCTTTCTCAGCCCCTCACCCCCCCCCCCTTTTTTTTTTTTAAAAAATGTTTTTGTTGATTTCAGAGAGGAAGGGGGAGAAAGAGAAACATCAGTGATGAGAGAGAACCATTGATCAGCTGCCTCCTGTATACCCCACACTGGGGATCAACCCCTGACTGCCTGATTCATAGGCAATGCTCAGCCACTGAGCCATGTCGGGGGCGGGGGTGTTCCTCAGACATGTTCCAGGATCAGCTCTGTACTCTTGGGGTCCATCCCACCCACTGACCAGCCTCTCCTCTGCCACCTCTGAGTGTCCCAGGGCCCAAGGGCTCAGTGCTCGGGCCGCCTCTCCCTCTGCACCCACTCCTTGCCGCCCTGGCTGAGCTCATCTAGGCTCAGGGCTTTCCGGGCTGTCTTTATGTGCTGAGAACCTAAGTTTTCTCTTCAGTTCAGACTTTCCAAAGCTTCAGCCTTCTTGTCCAACTGCTTGCTGTCTAGAGGTCTCTAGTCAGATGCTACCACCATCCCCTTCAAACCTCATCTCCCTGGCACATGGCCTGGCAGTGCCACCCTTCACAGTGCTCACTCTCAATTTCTTGAGGCCTTCTTGACTCCTCTCAACCCTGCATCCTGGTGGTCCACAAGCCCTGTTTCCTGTCTTACAAACTGGTCTCTGATCCACACTTCTCCCCTCCACTGCTGGTATCCTGGTCCAGTGATCGCCACCTTTCCTGGCCTCTGCTGCAACCTCACCTCTCCACCTCGCCTACCCCTTGCCGCCTGCATCTTGGGGAGTCATGTGTTCAGTGTGGCATTTGGGCAACCTTTGGAAAATCTACACCCGTGACTTCCCACCCACTGTCCGTGACCTCACACCCACTTGCCGTGCTTGGTGTGTGCCTCTGTCTCATACTATTATCCTTTCTCCCCAAGTGTGTCAGCTCCTCGGGGGAAAGGCTTTCTGCTAGTTTCCTTTCCTGCTCTAGTCCCAGTTCCTGGAACAGTCGGGTATCGAGACCCCCAGAACAAATACTTTGCCAAGGAAACAGCTCGAGGTGGGGAGGCCTCCCCTGTACCTCCAGTCCCACCCCCATGGTCCAGACAAGCAGAACAGGAGCCAGCTTTGGAAAATGACATGTTTTTATTGCTATGTTTGCAGTGGCTTTTAGCACAGTAAGAATGTCCCCGCTGGCCCCCCGCCCTCGCCTAGTCCCTCCCCTAGTCCCTCCCCTCCAGTTGAAGTCAGGGTATAGGGGAAGTCTTTCTAGGGTCCACTCGGCTGTCCCGGGATTAGATATGACACGGACGTGGGTTAAGTAAAGCTGCTACGTGGAAGACTTGAGACGTGAAAAGTGCATCAGCTTTAAGCTCGCAGGCGGGAGCCAAGCCTGGATCTCTTCCCTGGCTGGTGCCCACCTCAGATCCCTGCAGTCTGCCCAGCCCAGCCCAGGGGGCAGGGTGTGGTAAGGTTGAGCATGCCAGGTGAGCAGCCCCGTTCCTGGGACAGAACACCACACCTCCTCACCCCCACAACTTGTGGGCAGAGGAGCATGGTGGGGACACCCCTCGAGGCCCCTGCTGTGCACTTTTCCACCTCCGCCTGGGGCCGGGGACCGCACATGCATACCCACACGACAGACTCGCACAGCTTGAAGCTCTTGTTTTGCCTATGAAAATTAGATCTATAAATTCATACTCCTTGGCTGGGGCAGAGGAATTAAGGAGGGGCTGAAAGGACAGGGAGTGGCAA